CTGTGGGCTGAGAGCTTCAGAACCTACTGCAGCTTATTTAGTCACACCCAATGCCTACCAGTGGTTTGCTGGGGCCTGGCCTGTATTCAACTTCACCTCTGTGTGACAGACCTTTCCTGCTGACCTTCTAAGTTGTCTTTGGCTGAAAAATTATTTTACCCTGCCCTTTTGTGGGTTCTATTGCTCTAGAATTTGTTTTGAGGCATTATTTGAAGTTGTTTGGAAGGGAATTTGGGAGATCTCAGGCACGTCTCTGCCTTTTCTCCATCATTTTGGCTCTGCTCCCTACACTGACTTTTCTAATTTATAGGAACCTTATATCTTTTATGTATTCTGTGACAATTATGTTATCTTTGATAGGAATTTTTCAGAACTTTTCTGGGAATTTTTCCTTTTGAATTTGGCTTTGTTTTTTAAGTGTATTAGTTCTTTACAAATGACCCATTAATGACATGTTAATTAATTAAGCATAAAGCCAAATGTTAAAAAAATAAAGCAATTGTCCCTGTTCAGAGAGTTCTTGTTTCTTGAAAGTTCAATGAAACTAGTCACTTGATGTCTAAACTCATCACTCGAGGGGAAGGTGGGGATTAATGAGAAAAATAGGGAGAAATGGTATTTGCAGAAAAGTTTATCTTGTGCATAAGATTCCCACCACCACCATGCCCATATATCCATTCTTCCTGAAAGCATAGCTGTTTTTCAGCATTATAGGACTTTGTAGGTATTTAACAATATTACACAATATGTTTGTGTTTTGGCATTTTCCCATAAATACTATTAAGGAAGGGCCTGAAATATTTGACAGTTGACAGTTCTTTCTGTTTACTTCTCACTTAAATACAGCTTGAAATCTTCCTGGTAACATAAATAATACCATCTGTTATTTTATATTTTCATATGACCTGTAGCTTAAAGAACTGGGGTTAAGAGTTTGGAGAGATATGTTTGTTTATAAATTAGAAGGAATAGCCTTCAATGTCTTTATTGTTTTATTAGAATTTACCTAGTTTTGAAAGGAATTAGCCCATCAAGAGAAAAAAAGAACTTTTTTAAATGGGGCATTTGTTTTAATTATATATTAGGAGAAATAATTCATTGTGTTTTATTTTTGCTTCAGGGTTTTCCCCCCTTTTTTAACTTTTCTTTTTTTCTTAAATATGTATGCATGCACATACTTTTGTTTTATCCAGAGTGGAATACCTTATTTAATGCATTTAGACTTGTATTATTGTGAATTTTGCTGCCAATTTGAATGCAAATATATTGACCTCTTTAATAGGAGATGCACGCTTTTGTCAAGCATGTTGAGGAGAGTGTTTGTTTGCCAACTATGTCTGTTGTCTTTTTTTTTCTTTTTTCTTTTCCAGTCATATCTGTTTTCTCTCACAATATTTACACTTTGAAACTGTTACTACCTAGCTTTTTTTTTTACATAGGGTTCTCTCTCTCTCTGTCTTTTTCTTCCCCCACCCCTCTCTTTGTCCTCCACTCCCCATGCTGGAACTATGGCAGTCCTTCATGTGCCTGATCCTACTCCTGATCAGCACAGGAGATTTGACTTCCTCTGTTTCTCACCTCGACTGGTTCATCCCTTCTCATGAATCATAGTGGCCTCCAGGAGCACAACATATTGGAGCTGCAGTTAGTGCAGACATACAATTGGCTTAGCATCTTGCAGCTCAGAACTCCTGAACTCAGTTAATCCACCAGGCTCAGCCTTCTCAGCAATGCAGATTATAGCCATATGCCACCATGCCCAGCCCTACATAACTTTTAAAAATTAGGTTTTATTGGTATCTTTTGTTTTTACATGATCTTCATTTCCCAGTATGTCTTCTCCCTTCCTTAAATAGGTCTATACCTTTTAAAAATGAAAAGAGAACAGTAAGATGGTTCAGTAAACCTATCAATCAAATCGAATAGCATATGTATCATTATAAGATCCTTGAGAGTAGGAATTGTTTCAATTGTATTTTTATTTCTAGCACATAATAGGTGCTTAATAAATACTGGTTTAATATTTTCCCTCCTCAACTCTTCCCAGCAAAGAAAGAATAGCTATGCTTGGACTTCTTCAATTATATATATAATTGTATATTGGATCTTTCGCCCCCCATCTTTCATCTCCTTGGGGCCAGCTCTAGCTTCAGCAAGTCCATTGATTCAGGGTCAGTGTTAAAATGCAGTGAGGCATTCATGGACCATACAATGCAATAAAAATGGGAGAAATGGTGACAAAGGAGAACAAGATTTAAAGATACTAATTTAAATAAAACAGCTACTCTTTTGCCTCAGCATTCACCTCACCAACCTCTCGATTTGAAAAGCATTCTTACAGGGCAGTGGGAATTTTGCTTAAAACCTATGCCAACTCTCCAAGGGGGTGCCTTTTAACACCTGAGGCCAACAAGACCAAGCCTCCAGGCTCTTAAAAAAGCAGCTAGGCCTTATAAAGCATGTGCTACTCTTACCATTTTAGTCATTTTCCGAACCTAATTCCAAATTGCTATTCATAATAGCCGAACCAATTCACAATTCCACAAACAACTACTTAACTTTTAAGTTTTAGAATTTTTAAATGCTAGTGACTTTTTAGTTAGGAACACCACCATATCATATTACATTAAAAAACAAAATCAGAGAGAAATATAAAATGTTTAAATTCAAAAGAAGACTCCAGAGTTTCAAAAATCATATTTCATTTGGTTCTTTAATATTTTCAAAGACTCTTCCTCTTGTTCTAAACTACTTTCTTTTTGATTCTTTTTTTTTAGGTAGAAATGTCAAAAATATACAGTGTAATAGATTATACTGCATTTTATGCAGCATACATGTTCCTGAAAAACTCAGGCTGCACTTGAGCAGCCAGGTGCATTTTACTTAAGGAAAACTCCCAAAGGATTCTTGGAGAGTGAATAATTGCTTCCCAGTTTGTATGTTTAGGGTTGGATTTTTGGTCTGTTGTATCAGTCTGGCATATCATTTCTTGGCATACTTTGAAATCTGGTTTCTCCAAATCTAAAGTACATATCCAAGACTGCCCAGCTCTCCCTCTCTGTCTTTTTATTGTCATGAATTCCAAGATGAAATGGTCATTTGCTCCAAAGTTTTTGTTATTCTTTCCATAGCAATCATTTAATCTGTAACGAAAATCAGATCCAAAAATAGAAGCTCTTGTTCATTCTTCCATAAATTGAGAATGGCTTAATTGTGATATTATTTGCAACAATATAATCTTGACATATTTCTGACCTGAAGTTGATTAACATGTATTCGTTCCTACTGAACATCAGGTCACTGCCAAAGCTTCTAATAGGGATTCTCTTTAGTGTTATATCAACTGAACAGTTCTTAAAACTATCACAGAGGAACCATCATTTTAGCAGTTTTTGGTCTTACTGCTATGAGTTGCTTTTGAAATCATGACCTACTTGCAAAACATGCTAAAGATATAATCTTTACGCAGTCATCCCTTGGCAATATTGTACCTTACTATGCATCTCCTGTCAAAACAAGCAAGAAAAAAATCGAATGTGGAAGAGAAAAGTTTTCTCTAAGCATGTATTTCTGAGTGAAAAAGAATAGAAAAGGTGCTGTGTTATATTGGTGGTACTAGGGAAAACACTACATCTGTTTTAAAATTCACGACTTTTTTGCATGTGACTTATATTCTTCATTTTATTTCTTTTCTAGCCACTCAGTACTTTCAATTCAGGATCTTTTGTTGTGTCCAAATAATTTGTAGATAGTGTCTTATTTTTAAACACCTTGGTAGATTTTTTTTTCTTTTTTGATTTGATGTCTAGTTGAAATTAGTGATTTATATCAGCTAGTGTTTTATTGTTTGTTTAAAAATTCTTAAATACATAGAAATCTTTGAACTTGTTTTGTGAGACTAATTCTTTAATTAACATAATTGTTCTTTGACATTGAAATAATTTTTAATGTTTCATTTGTCTTCTCGTTAGCCTTCTATTATGAAATTATACAGAAAGTGTGCTGTTAATATTCTTGGTAGTGAGACATTTCTCATTTATTTTGTTTCTATACTTTTTTCCTTTTAACTGTTGACTTTTGATTTTTCTTTTTGTTTTTCTTTTTAATTTTCATTTAATTTTTTATTTTTAACATTCATTTAAAAATTTTTTTGGATTCCAAATTCTCTCCCTCCTTCCTGCTCCTACCCCACCCATTGAGAAGGCAAACAACATGATATCAAGTATACAAGGGAAGTCATGTAAAACATATTTCTATATTAGCCATGTTGGAGGGGGAAGCAAAAAAAAAAAAGGAAGAAAAATAAAGAAAGTGAAAAAATATGCTTCAATCTGCACTCTGCTGGGTTTATAAAACCTTCAAATCATTCAACCTTCTAGCTTAGTTGGAGTTCCTGCTGTATTATCCCTAATCTCCAGACCTAAAAATAACACAGAATCATAAAATTTTAGCATTAGAAGAACTCTTAGTATTTAAAGTAATTCTTTTTATGTAGAAGTAAATCTTCTTAGTATAGTCTATGAAGTTTCCCACTAGTTTCTCATTTTTGCAGACTTCTCCTTCTCTTTTGTCTATTTAGCACATTTTTTCTTGTAAGAAAGGCCCTTAAAAACATACATCATCCTTAAGAGAATCTTGAGAAAAGTGGACATTTTAGGTCTAGTTTCTACTTCAAATGTTTGGTTAATTTTTTTTGATAAAAGAATTCTCTTGATAAGTCATCCTTCATTTTGTTTCTTTGGGCATTTTATGCAGTCTGCCATGAGAATGAGTACTTGTGACATTATTGTCAATAGAGTTCATGTTATGCCTATTTTCTTGATACCATCTGAGGATGAAATAGTAACTATAGCAACTATAAATAATGAAAAACAAAAATTCAGTGGGAGATTATAATTAAATATTTTCCCTTATATTAGTTTATGCATGCTGTTTGTGTGAGGGGTAGCATGTGAAATACATTGCCAAACTGAAAAGTATCACTTTTCCTTTCTTTTTAGAGTCGCTGAAGTTGGGGAGCTAGTGGAAGAATGTCAAGTTCAAGAAATGACCTTAGATGAATGGAAAACCCTTCAAGAGCAAAATCGACCAAAGCCTGAATTCAACATCCGGAAGCCTGAATCCACTGTTCCTTCCAAAGCAGTAGTGATTCACAAGTCAAAATATAGAGATGATGTAAGCATTGCCTTTTAGCTTTTAGAGACAATTCTAATTTTTTCCACGTCAGGAGAAAATGCCTCCTTTTTTCTGACAATTTAGCACTAACAGCATTTCAGCTCCTTTAAAAATCATTTATAAATTCTAAAAAAAATTTTTTTTATTGATATCTGTTGAAGTCAGGATCTAGTTTCAAATTTCACCTTTGATATTTATAACCTGTGTAACATTGGGCAAGTCACTTAATTTTTTGACCTCTAAAATAAGGAGGCTAGACTATATGCTTGCTGAGATTCCTTCCTGCTCTAAATTTATTATTCTATACTTCTCCCCTTTCCTTTACACAAAAGCTATCCCTTGTGTAACAAAGAATAAAAGAGAGGGGAGGAAAATCAATTCATCAAAACTAATTAACCAAGTCTGACAATGTACATATTGTCTATACCCATGGTCTCTCACCCAATCTGGAAAGATATACATTTTCTTGAGGCTTCTCATGGATTAAACTTGGTGAATATAATTAAGAAATCAGATTCTTGCAAATAGGTAATCAGAGATGATAGATACATAGTGAATGACTCATATCTTCATTATTCTTTAAAATAACATCATTTAAAATACAAAGCAGTATTTTCCACTGAAATCTGAGTTGTATAGCTTCATAAGCATAAGCACTTATATTTTAGAAATGTGTTAGGCTGTCATAAAGCAAGTTTATTTAATTGCCTTTTTTAAATAAATGCTGTATGCTAAATGAATTTTATTTGAATCATCCATAACTAAAACTTTGAACTAGACTCCAGAATTTTATATACTATTTCCTAAAATACTAAAATTATAGTAGATCATGTAGTTCATTCTTTCCATTTTATAGATAAAGCAAAATATATTTATTCTTTAATTATGTTACCCTTAGATTTAATTATTTATTAATTAAATTAATTATTATAATTATAATTTATTAATTATTATATTACCCTTAGATTTGTATTAATTTTTAAAACAATATTAATATTAGTACAAAATTATAAGTGTAGTGACACATTAAGGCAAAGGAAATAGTATGGGGTATTTAAACTCAATCTAGAGTTAACTCTTTAATTAGCATCTTCTGTCTTTAATAGCTTTGGGTTCTGTTTTGTATGGATTTCTTAAAGCCTCGATAACAGTATTCATACAGTAGTATAGTATACTTATTTGTATAGTATACTTATTTGTATAGATCTTACTTGCATAAAGATCTAGACACTGTCTCTAGTCAAACAAAATTACATTAATAAGTAGGATTTTTTTTTACCCCTTTTTGTTAATTTATTTTGATTTATCAACAATCACTTCTATAAGCTTTTGAGTTTTAAATTTTTCTCTCCTTCTCAACCCACCTTTCTCCCCAAGACATCCCACAATCTGATATAGGTTATACATTTACATTCCTATTAAACATATTTTCACATTAGTCATGTTGTAAGGAAGAATTAGAACCAATAGAAGGAACCACAAGAAAGAGGAAACAAAACAAAAGAGAAGAAAAAAAAGAGCAAATAGTATGCCTTGATCTGCATTTAAATTCCATAGTTCTTTCTTTGGATGTGGATAGCATTTTCCATCATGAAATTTTTGGAGATGTCTTAGATCCTTGCATTGCTGAGAAGGGCTAAGTCTGTCAAAGTTAGTCATCACACAATGTGGCTGTTACTGTACACAGCATTCTCCTGGTTCTGCTCACTTCACTCAGCATCAATCCATACAAATCTTTAGAATTTATTGATCTTAAGGAAATGATTGTTTTTTGCCACCTTATGTTTCCTATTTTGGTATTCTACACATAGCCTGCTGCTGATTTAAGTCTTGGACCATAATGCTGGACTGTTTAGAAGAACTGTTAGGAGTATTATACCACCTGAGAATAATAATAATAATAATAAGTTACCAATTTGTTGCTTTGCAGTAATTTTAATAATCATATTTTGTTACATGAAAGACATTATGACAAAAAACCCCAAATTATAAGAACAGAATTCCTCATCAAATTCCTTTCCTTGATATATTTCAGTGAACATGCTAACATAACTTATTTTTATGTTTATCCTCTGAGCGTATGCATTATAATTCTTTGTATTAAGATTTCTCTTCTTGAGGCAATTCAAATGGAAGCTTTTGTATGGGTGATGAAAAATTACATAAACAATCAGTCAGTAAGCATTTTTTAAAACACCTATAGTGTACTGGTGATGGAAGTACAAAGACAATAGCAAAATTTGAAACTGTCTTCAAGAAAGAGAAATTCTATTGGGTGAAGACTGCAGGAATACACATAGATATATATATAGAGCAGATACTAGGTACTTGTAGCTGAAGGCACCAGGAAAGACCTCATGCATGAGGAGGTGCTTGAGCTGGGTCTGGAAGGAAACCAAGGATTCTCAGAGGAAGAAGAAGAGGAGGAGGAATATTTTCCATACCCAGGGGCACAGAAAAACATGTGAGGAATAGCCAGAATAGTCTTGCTTGACCAGAGTATGTGGAGGGAAGTGAGTTGTGAGACAGGTTGGAGCCCGATTATAAAAGACTCCAAATGCCAAAAAGGTGTTATCTTTGATCCTCGAGGTAATGAGAAACTGCTGGAGTTTACTGAATATAGAAGTGGCAATGTGTTTTAGGAAAATTGCTTTCAAGGTAGGGCCACTAGGTGGTACAGTTGATAAAAGCACCAGGTCTGGAGTCAGGAAGATGAGTTCAGATCTTGCCTCAGACACTTACTAGCTGTCTGACCCCTGGAACCCTGTTTTCCTCAGTTTCCTCATTTGTAAAATGAGCTGGAGAAGGAAATGGCAAACCACTCTGGTATCTGTGCCAAGAAAACCCCAAATAGGGTCATGGAGAGTCAGCTGAAATGACTGAATAACAACAATTACTTTCCAACTGGGTAGTAGATGGAGAGGCAGTGAGTGAGGGCAGTGAGACTAGTTAGGAAGTTTTGGTAATAGTCTAAGTGAGAGGTGATAACGGTCATTTTTGGGGCAAAGAGAGCTTGGTTTTAAACATGTTGCCTTTGAGGTGCTGAATGGGACATCTAGGTAGATATCTTTTAAGGAGTTAGTGACCTCTACCCTTTCTATTACATCATTGACATTTGACCTTAATGTTTCCTTTGCTACTCTGTTTCACTCCTGCCTACACACTTTCCAAATTCAACAAAATTTGAGAATTTAAAACTTTTAAAAGTATAACTACAATCCAGTTTTTTTAAAGTGATTGCAAGTTTGAAAAATTAAAACTTCTGAAAAAGTGTACCTGTTTACTTTGAGAGAGCAGCCTGGAAAAGTAAATAGAATGCTGACCTTGGAGTCAGGAACCCTGGATTTGAATCTTGCCTCATTTACTGACTGTGCGCATAGGCAAGTCACTTATCCCCTTAGAGGCTTTATTTTCTCACCTCTAAAATAGGATAGTATATGCGATACTTATCTCACAAGATTGTTGTGGGGGAAGTTCTTTACAAACATTGAAGTATGTATATAAATGTGAATTATTATTACAGTTAGACTAGTTCTTAGCATCATAAATATGCTTTATATAAAGCTTTTAATTTCAATTCATTTATATGTTGACTAATTTCTATTGAATATCAATTCTCATGCAATGCAAAGGAGCATACAACTAAATTTTGGCTAAATGTATCCTGAAACTTTGTCTAAAATATAATAAATTTAATATTCTGCAAGCTATTAAGAGGAGCAAACTTTAGTCACAAGGGATTATGTAATGAGAACTCTTGCCTAGTTAACAATAAGAATCAACTACAGAAATCTCTTAACATTCTTTACTTTTAAGAAAGGTTAAGGGTCAAATGTAGACATAGCCTAAACTCAAATATAAAACTTTTGATTTACAAAGGGCACTAAGAGAAAAAAACAGTTTTAGATTTTCCCCTAAATACTTATTACTCCTCATCTCCTCAGGTCAGATAAATAGATTAAATAAATATTGCTTCAAAAAAATTTTATGATACACTTTTTTTGCCCATTCACAAGGTATTGAAAATTACATTTGCGTATTAATGAGAAATGCAAAAATTGTATAGTGCTCTCTATGAAGTCTTTTAATGTGTAGTCAGTGACACAGAATTGAGTTTTGTAGGGGCTACAGAATACTACACTGCCATGTAACAGTCAATTTTAGTATGAATTTTGGAGACAAAAAAGCTTAATTTAAGACAAGATAGGTTTTTAAAAAAGGCCAATTGTTTTTTATTGCCATATGGTTGTCTTGCTATTCAGTTTCTTAAATCCTTTTTGTCTGGGGACATGAGAAATTAAAATTTCTCCCAAGGTAAAAAATGTTTTTAGAATATAACAGTTGACAGTCAAAAATATTACTTCAGAAGTTACTGCTGCTTGATCTGACCCAATGTCATATCATTCAAGATGTGAAAAAAGCCAGGTAAACTTGGGATCCTTAATGTAAAGAGGCAAATTGTACATTACAGGTATCACTGAGACTTGATATGGGATATGAGACTCATGTCTGGAATTTTATTCTGAATCTATAAATCTTAATCAAAAGGAATAGGATGGGTAAGAAGTTTGGGTGTGTGATATGGAATAGCATTACATATTAACAAGATATACAAGTAAATTTAGGAACCAGTTGAGGGAAGCATGATGAAATGCATTAGGCTGAGGACAAACAATGGCCAACAGGAGCAATACTGTCACTGTCTGGATAGATGTTACAGATCCCTTAGACCTAAAGAGAAAATTCTCTGGGCAAAAGATGATAAGCCTGATATGTTAGAATTAAGTCATAGGAGACTTTAGTTATCCAGGTGCCTATTAGAGCTCTCTCACTTCCAAAAACAGAGCAGCTAAAAATTTCTTAATTGCTTTAATGACCATTTCATCTTTCAAAAGGTGGAGGGACTAAGGAAAGGAACTTCTGGATCTGATTCTCTCCAACAAGGAAGAACTGGTTGCTGGAGTGGAGATGAAGGCTACTGGGGTGGGGAGGAAAGGGCAAATGTCTATGCCATGTTAGCATTTATGATAGAGGAGAGGAAAGCCTGGCACTGTCTGACATGACCCTAGATTATGGGAGATCATGTATCAGAGGGGTAGAGAAAGAAAGGCCTGATCCTATGCATTAAACTTCAGAGGAAAAAAAATTGTGATGAGAATAGAAAATTTGACAAAAGAGACCAATGTGAGTGTAGAGGGAGCTCTTCAACTAATTAATTTTTTTTTTTTAATGTGCAGAAGATAGAAGCAAGAGCAAGTAACTGAAGATGAATGCAAAGTAAGGCCCAGGAGTATAAGAATAGTTAGGTATGCTAAAGCTCAGATGAGGAAATTAAAGCTTGGAATGAACAGAAGCTTATGAGGAAAGCTAAGTACAACAAAAAGGTCTTTCTTTATAAGCTCTCTTGTGAGGAAAAGAGTCAAAGGGGGGCGGAACTGCTTGGCATGGGACAATAGTAATGAACAACAGAAAAGGTGGAGTTGCTCCGTCCTGGGTATACACACACACACGTGAATATATGTATTCACATAGGAGAAAGATCTTTGTAATGGAAAGAATGGAATAAAAATGACTAATATGGGAAATAAGCTGGTGATATTTAAAAAATAACCCCTTCAAGTTCTTTTCTGTTCACTGCAACTCTTGAGTATATCATAAAATGTTGTTCAGTATTATGTGTTTAATTTTAATTTAATTTAGTGTTAATTTAATAAGTGTTCTTAAATAAAGCATACTCATAGCATAACATATATTAGATTTATAGCATATTCTTAAAGCATCCTTTATGAACAAATGGGAAATAACTTCAAAAATCATCTCAAGATCTGAGTTGAAATATTTAGATAATCAAAATGTCCTTGGAGATTTCAATATTCATCTTTGCTGATGTTGATATTGTCTGATTTTAGAATGACAGGCTTGGGGGAAACAGCATTGTATTATAATTTGGTCCTTAATTAACATAGTGCTGGAAGGGATTCAAGAGGGTATAATCGTGCAAACTGTACAGATAACATTTATTTGAAAATTTAATAGAAATGTAATTTTTGGTTTGCTTAGTGATAAAATTATATCAATTCAAAGTATAAGCTTTTTAGCCTTTGATACTACGAGATAAAATGTGGTGTCTGCTGAATACTGGTGTGTCACACACACATTTAGCAGGTCTGAATGGTTTACCGTAGTTTAGATGTCTGTCAGCACCTTACAATGGCAGACCTCGAAGGGACCTTGGAGATTTGTGTATAATAAAATAACTGCCTTTCAGATGATAAAGGATGACTATGAGGATGACACCCATGTTTTCAGAAAAGCAGCCAATGACATCACATCCCAGTTGGAGATTAATTTTGGTAATCTGCCTCGTCCTGGGCGTGGAAGCCGAGGTAGTATGCGAGGTCGAGGAAGAATCAGGAGGATGGAAGAATCTGGATCCAGACCAGAAGTTGTGGTAGGTGTTTTGTTTATTTAATAAGTACTGAATTATTTTGTAAAGCCAGTGAAGAGATAGGGATGACCAGTATTTCATTTTTTTTGTATCAACTACTTAACTAAATTGATGATGAATCTATCTTTTAATATCTCTAAGCTATCTTACAGTTTATGCTTTTTCTTTCTTTCATAATTGCCTGATGTTTCAGTGTATAAAAAGAAGGTACATTGATTGGTGAGAGGTGTGGGTCATCCTGTATTTTCACGTGCCCAATAATGATCTCTCAGGCATGGTCATAGGGATTTCCAGAATTCTTGAAGAACAAACAAAACTCATTCTTTTCCCAGACTGAACAAAAACCTGAAGTTTGATAGCAAGTCGTGTTAGCTAGGATATCCTTATATAAAAGGTTAATGGGGCCTATGGTTAATAGTTCCATTATGTTACAGTGCCACCTTGTGGGTTTCTTATGATACAGTTATTGAACTTTAATCATTTTTTGACAATCTTAACTAATATATTAGCTCTAGCATTATAAAACATATAAACAATCTTTTGGCAATATTGAGTACAAGAAGGCAGGTATTAAAGGTAATCATATAGTCCTAATGAGAAATCAAGGTGGTGGCCAAATGAGAAAAGAAATCTGGAGGGAAAGGAAAAATGCTTCCTTTGACATGACATTCAGTACTAAGTAATTTTGAATTTTAGGGTTACAAAAGGTTTAGTAAAAGATCAGCAAACCTAGACAAACCAAAAGCAAAAATAGATCTTATCAAGAGATAAGGAAGGAAACTACATCCTGCTATAAGGCACCATAGACAATGAAGTTAAAGTTACTAAACATATATGCACCAAATGGTGTAGCATCCAGATTCTTAGAGGAGTGCAGGGAGATACAGGAAGAAATAGACAGCAAAACTATACTAGTAGGGAACCTCAATGTCCCCTTCTCTGAAATAGATAAATCTAACCACAAAATAAACAAGAAAGAAGTTAAGGAGGTGAATAGAACATTAGAAAAGATAGGTGTGATAGACCTCTGGAGAAAACTGAATGGGGATAGAAAGGAATATACTTTTTTTCCAGCGGTACATGGCACATACACAAAAATTGACCATGTACTGAGGCATAAAAACCTCACAATCCAATGCAGAAAGGCAGAAATATTAAATGCATCCTTTTCAGATCATGATGCAATAAAAATTATATGTAAAAAAGGGTCATGGAAAGATAGACTAAAAAATAATTGGAAACTGAATAATCTAATCCTAAAAAATGAGTGAGTCAAACAATAAATCATAGAAGCAATCAATAACTTCATTCAAGAGAATGACAGTAATGAGACAACATACCAAAACTTATGGGATGCAGCAGAAGCAGTTCTTAGGAGCAGTTTTATATCTGTAAATGCTTACATAAATAAAATAGAAAAAGAGGAGATCAGTGAATTGGGCATAGAACTAAAAAAAACTAGAAAAAGAACAAATTAAAAATCCTCAATTAAACACTAAATTAGAAATATTGAAAACCAAAGGAAAAATTAATAAAATTGAAATTAATAAAACTATTGAACTAATAAATAAAACTAAGATAAATCTAAATTAATAAAAAAAAGAAATGCTAACATGCAAACACACACAACACACACACACACACACACACACACACACACACACACACACACACA